AGCAAAACACGAACAAAAGTCCGCCGGATCCAATTAAATGTTTGAAATACTAGAATAAAGTTGACCAAAGTATCACTACGGACTATGCGATGCTCACCCCGGCGTCGCATAAAGGTCCTGATACACAACCGACCAGGAGGATTAAACACAGTTGAAGGAGCCAATCCATGAAATATTGTTCAGAGACTCGTTAGATAGTTGATTGGTGGAATAGTATTCTTCGAACACCCCAAACTAATATGTAGGTATAAGCGTAATTCCCAAGCAAAACACCCTGTGGAGACGCACGGTATTCGCAACACCATCTAAGAGAGGATAGAATGGAATGGTCATTGCTTGCTCTCTTCATGAAAGAGTGGATTTCACGTACAGCATGTAACGGAAATCATGAATCCCTGCAGAGAAACGCAAATTTAAAATCCTTGTTTGTAAAAGATGAAATTTACGCACACCAAAAACACAAAGCCAGCCTCTAGTACCCCCATCTGGCACCTCAAACGGATTGCTCGTAGGTGTTTCTTCAACTTTCGTACTCTCCTGCACACCGTCACTGATCCTTGTGGATTCCATAGAGGCCCTGTTTGAGCTGCGGATCTCAGCGACTTGTTCGACTATGGAAGGCTTCTCCATTATTTCTGTCATTTGATACCGTATGATTATTATGTCTCAGGCCCTCGGCGTCTTAGTCAAGGAAACTTCTAGAAAGTAGAGGTCTATCAGTAATTGGCTTTTGGAAAACTACCGCAACTCGCAAGAGAGCATTCGCCGGAGTCAAAAACAAGCTAGATTTAGAGATTTGCTTACGCATAAGTTTAGTTTACCGCCGGCCATCACTTCGCTGATTAAACCTCCTCTATAAACTTCCACTGTCCAATATCAAGTCACGACTCGAAGTTACAGAATCTAAATAGAATTAGAAAATGTGAAAGCTAACCAAAGTTAAGCGCTAGCTGGCAAGCGCCATTCGTGGGTTTCAATTTCCAAATGTGGTTACCACTGATTGACCCCTGTATTCTTCCATAATACTGACTCCTCTCCAAGCTATGTAAACTTATTGCGATTGCACCGAATATTTGCGCAGCCCGGTTTCACCTCAAACTGTTTCTTCTACATGCCTGTTTTTTCATCCGTGGTCGACTTGTTTGAGCCTTGAGCCTACTGCAGAAGACTTCCCTCCCCGTCTTTTTCTTTTTGGTTCGCGTATAGAAGTTGAGGAGAATTTAGGCTCAAGATTTCCGTTTCAAGTTTGCGCTGAGGTCTGGAAACATCGTGCACAACACAAGAAAGTCTGTTGTTTGTGTGCGAATTTCCCCTTTTCACGGTTTTCATCGTGCTATATAAATCGTGTCTTCAGCTCCAGAAAAACCAAAACTACCGATCAGAACACTACAGAAACCGACACCCTCCTCATCGATCCACAGCAGCAGCAGAAGGCTGAGACGAAACTTAAAATCTTCCTCACGATCCTCCTCATAATTAGTTGCTCGCCTGATTATGGTCCAGATCTTCTTCACCTTTGACAACTTGAAGGTGACTTTCAAGTATGCTTCCCGAGCGTTATGGCAATTTTTGGGCTCGCTCCTTAAAGCCTAACGAAGCCAAAGTGTAGCGTGAAACTTTATGTATGTACATTGGACAAGTTTTACGAATTAAAAGTTTTCCATCCTGCAAAGTGTAGAGGCAGGCATTCTTGTCCGGAGTCGGAGGTACTTGAAATTGCTTGAGGTCGTACGCTATCATCCCTTGATGTATTCCCTTTGCAGAAGTATGCTGTTGCTCGTAGAAGTATAAACAACGTCGCAAAACGCCGATAAAAGTGACCCTATGTTGAATCCATCAGATGTCCTATTGCGAGCAACGAGCACGTTAGTGGGCTATGAATTATTCATTCGATGTTATTGTACAAAACATCATAGAGCATCCAGGTCTTCTGAAGCAGGTTACAGTAGCACAAGACAGGTCACGAACTTGACTACCGCGGTTCAGCCAATCGTCAAACTTATCAATAATATCAATTGCGTCTTCCACAGTCTTGGGTGGTACAGGGTGGTACATGTCTGCCAGCGCATTCTTGCCGTTATGAAAAAACTATAAGTAGTAAATTATAAGTAGATTGAGCATCTTGATATTCCTTAGAGACATCTTCCGCCGGCGCATTCGCACCCTCACGGAATAAATTCCGAAAGATGAGATTGTCACACATAATATTATCCAAGAAAGCTAACCGTTTAGTTTCCGACAGTCTCAGGCTGTCCGTTCGGAACTTAGACAGAAAGATTAGACTTACGCGAACGACTCTGCGCTTCGAAAATACCCTACAAACCGTATGACACCAAACTAGACACCATGTGGTTGAAAATGGTCCAGTGTTCAAGTAATTCAAACACGATCCTCTACTGCAATTCAAATCACGCAGGCTACTTCCTGAACATTTTAGGCATCAGCTCCTTTCCGTCCATTCGATGGAAAGCATACGCCTGTCAAGGAGACATACACGACCAAGTTTGGAATTGATCCAAAGATATTTGAAAACTGCTCGACTCCTTGTAAGTCACTTGAACTTGGTTCAGTAAGGATGAAATTTGATTTGCTTGCGCGCGCGGTTGAAGGTATCAAATCCATGTCAGTCAATGCGGCTATTCGAGAAGTTCAGCTAGCTGTCTGTCGTGCCCCCAAGCCATGGACTCCTGAGCGAAAGCCCATCTTGTCTTGAGAAGTAGATACAAGTCTGCTATACATACACTCAATCGAAGCGGTATAGCTCGGTCCAGGTCTTCTAGATATCATGAAAACCTTTGTCAAATTATCCCTTGATATCCACGTCGGCAGCCAGAGTTCCTCGGCTCCCGGGCGTACGATTTTGCACTAATTAAAGAAGACCATCTTGCTCGCGGTGACCCAGGATTATCATCAGCTCCTGTCTACGCTGGATACAATAATGACACCCTCTTTCATCAACTGTTGGCGCCACTGTGTGCTCTCCTCTCTTGAGGTTTTTGCCACCTCTAATCAGAAATGCTTGCATCGCGCGGAAAATGGCCATCAACAATGCGAAACAGATCGCTCCTCCAGACCAAACGAATCCGGATGATGCAAGTGTCAATACGACACTTTCAACGACTCGAAGAGCAGCCGCAGAGACTCGTGACGATGATGATGGTGCTGGTTAGGAGGAAGACGATGTGGTGTTCTGCAATGGCAGACTCGACCTGACCACGCTCCGCATGTTCATCCTCACATGCTATTGACAGCGCCGATATTGGACACGCTGAGGACACATTGGGTCAGTATCCCTCTGATTTTTGGGTGTCATTAAGGAAGCTTCTTCACTATATAGGGATTTCAAGATGATTATAATCATGGACTGGTGTAAAATCGATTCTCGTTGTTCGCGGTCCGGCATAATGTCGTCCTGCTGGTAGCTTGGTGTGACCAGAGATCTGTATTTAATTCTAGCATACCTTGTTAAATTCTGACGCACTTTTAAGTTTTACGACGCGCCTCGATGGCGTCTGAATCGAAATCCCAGGAATTGGAGGCTTATACTGATTAGAGCAGAATTCAAGTTTCGCTTGCCCGTTCTCTGCATTGGTAGCTAATATCTTCAACGATGCGGCTTCTGAGCAAGTTCTTGTGTATCTGAAAGGGTAGTTTGACAATATTTGCGGCGGGCGCTAGGAGCAAGCTGGCGTTTCCCATAAGCGCTCAAATTTCCTTCCTTGTTCTTATCCTTGTTCTTAATCTTTCTTGGCTCAGTCCGTCTCCAAGATACAATTACGTGCTCCTCTTTGAAGAACAAGACCAAGAAACAATGTCACCTTCTATTGGACAAATGTAACAAAGAGGCAATCCATTGAGCTCAAAAAGACAAAAGACAAAGGCACCCTTTCAAGCGCACTCGAATAAAAGGGCTTTCAACTATTGCCCAAGATGAGTTCTGGATCCTGAAACTGCTCTGAATCTTTCGGTTCAGTTCAGCCAGTAATTTCCTCTTAGTATAAGGCGCAAGCTTGGCCTTCGCTCTCGATTTGAGGACGTATTCGACCTATTCTGGTAAGTTTTAGCTCAGAGCCTTTCACGCAGCGCTGAATAATCGCTTTAGACGCAGGAATCTACGGGCTTTGACTCGATTACTGTACAAGTAATCTTTTTTGACTATCATCATCGGACATTATGCAGTCCACTGGTACGCGTAAGAAGCCTCATTGTCGAAGCTGCGGTTCTCCGATGGAGGGACATAAACGGAAGGAGTGTAGTGGTGAGCACTACTTTCTGCTGCCTTGAAGTCCACTGGAAGTCTAGAACTAATGTATCGCAACAGGCACCTTCCTCAAAACGCCCTCTCCATCTCCTTCCAAACCGTCTTCTCTCGTCTCGCCATTCCGAAACAACTCTCCCAGAGTCGAGGGGCAGGACCGAAAGCCTATTATACTCACAAAGCGCCTTCCGGCTCTCTTCGATGATGGTCAGGAGCGCGATTTCGACTTTCCTATTCCAATGGCATCTATCTACGCTGCTGCAGACGTCTCTCCTTCCGAAATTCAACGCACTTGCGAAGATTCCAAGGGGAAATACCACAGTGGTATCTTTTATACTCCTACCACACGTCAGAACAAGGGCGAGAACGAGCACAGCTTGAACAAGTATAAAGGCTGGGTTATCGTCGGGCAGGATGCCAATGTCGTTCGACAAGTTGTTCGTGGAGGAGGAGTGCCTGGTGCGTTTGTGACGACGGTCATGAGGAATGGGATGGAGGTGGTTGGGGAAATTGTGGAAGGCCCGAGGATGGTTACGGTGTTGCACCTGGTCTTTCTTGCGTTTATAACAGTGGTGGTGACGTTGTATTGGCTTTCGCGGATGTGAGGGCGCTATAATCGATTCATTGGTGACTATGAATTAGGGGTCAAGGTTGCTACCTACGCGTTATGTTGTACTTTTATTATTATTGAACTTTTCCCTGTTGAAAGAAAAAAAAAGTCAACAAAATGGATATTGATTATCTGCCCCAGAGAGGCTCGAACTCTCGACCTTCCGATTGAATAACTAACAGTCGGACGCTGTAACCAACTCAGCCATGGGGCACATGTAAATCATTTCTTTCAATTGTGTAAAGTTTTGTTGTGCAAATCCGAGCTCTGCCAAGGTAGCTTGCCAGATACTCCGATGATCTTTTAAGCGTTACTACATTTTAAAGTACTTGTCCAGTGAATGACTAGATGAATGGTAGCATTAATTGTAGTACCGAACGATGCCATTCCGACCAACGAGCTCCTACAAGCTCATGAGTTCAGAGTCTCAGACTCTGTCGGGGCCAAAGATATTTTCTCAAAAATCATATTTCCCAAGCCCGAAAGCTTCAGTGTGAATCGCAGTTCGATGAAGAAAGGCTCGAGCTGGAGGACCTTCCAAGAGGCAGTAAACCCATTTACTTGTCTGGTATTGCTGCACTTTCATTATCTTATTTTTTTTGCGAACTCGGTGCTCATCGGAAAATTGGCCGGTATGAAAAGGCATGGGTCATTATATGGAAGCCTAGACCGCAGTTTTGCAGTGGTGAAAGTGTCTGGATCTGAACTCGAACGTTCTACTTCATTTTGACAAGGAGACAGGTGTCGAAATATCGATATCAACTAAAGAAAACCAAGCAAAATCTCAACAAAATCTTCATCCATTGGTGCACAAACTTTTTGGTTCAAGATAAGTAAAGATCGAATAAAAGAGTGCCTCCTGGTGATGCTTACTATTAGTCTTCCTTGAATCCGTGAATCCGAATTTTAATACAATCAGTCATTTTGAAACGGCGAGACGTCGCAGTCGGACGATATTCATGTAGAATATCGGGAGACAGTTTCTGTGTGGTTCATTGACAGTTGACATAATATTATATACAGAGCTCAAAAACAAAACATCACTGCTAGGAGAAACCGCCACAAGGTATAAAGAGGTATATATTCGCGAGAACCGGAATATTAATGTAATTCAGAAGGTTGTTATAACCTACCCGGGTTATATCAATATTTGAATGTAAATATTAGATAGCGGCACGCACGCCTTATTTTTGCCTTATGCACTCATATGCGCTGTAGTAAACAGTACCTGGGGTTAACTGTTGCCTAAAAGGATGGAAGACAGAAAAAAACAGAGGAAAAGGGTAGTTATGAAGTGTATAAACGTATCCGGTGTCCAAAGAGAGGCGAGTTCGAAAGCTGAGTCTAACCCTGTCCAACCTGAGCCAACCTGGCGAAACAAAATTCGAAGTGTCGGGTCGGATGGGCTGAGCAGGGCTGCAAGGGCTACAGCCAAGGGTTACGATGCGATAATACGGTGGTTTGAGAGACCCACGCGTACGCTATCCGTGGATCATCCGACGACGACCAAGAAAGCGATAAACTAAACGACTCTCAGCGCCAGCTCTCGGATTATCATTGCCGTTTAAAATAGGTACATGTACCTTCCTTCTAGAATTAGGAATATCTAAGTAAACGGCTCCGTTCACTGCGGTACTACAACGCGGTGATTTCCAAACCGGCAGACTGAAGCATCCGAAGTCGTTCCTCAAAGTCCAGGGGCATACGCGCTGACCAAAGTCTTCCGAGATGCAGCCTTTCCAAGACCTTGCCCACACCAGTCAGATTTGACTGGACACTCTGGGAAGTACTAGTAGAAGAAGGCCCCATCAAAGGTATTGAACTCGAGCACCTCGATTCGATCATCCTCAACAGCACCCCAATTTTTTCTCGATCAAGTGGAATCTCCCGTCTTATACCAGGAAGCCTGATACCAAATTCCCTCAGGTGAGGAAGCAAATGCCCAGGGAGGGTATAAGTTCCTGACTCTGAGATGGCTGAAATGGGGCCTACGAGCGCAGGAACGTCGGACCAAATCATCGCTTTGATTAGCCAGGTTTCCATTTGGAGAAAGTTCCAAGCCCGATGTTCCACATCGCACAGATCGAGTTTCGTGAGTGACGGAGAAACCGCTTGAAGCAGTTCTATGAGCTGTTTCGAATTATAAGAGATACCGTGTAGAGTAAGGGAAGAAATATGTGAGTTCGAGCGTATGATTAGTGAGGTGAGGTTGGGTATGATCCCATGTGAGAAGGAGAACTCCTGAGAGCCGCTAATAAGAGTGAACGTGGTGAGGGCGGGATAAAAACAGTGCGTGATGTCTGGACCGAGCGTTTCACATCGACGGTCGGCGCCAATGGAAAGCTTTGAAAGGTCGCCAGAGGTGTATTCGATGGGATCACGGTACGAAAAGTCGTTTGCGCAACGTAAAAAAGTCGCTGTAACGGCGTTACTGCATAGTCGTAGAGCCTGGTGCATTTGGTTGACATCTAGGTTCTCCATTGTTAAATGGTGAATTTGATGCCAAGGGAGAACAAGCTGGTCGAATGTGTACCTCATCATGTCGAGGGACAATGTACGCAGAATGGGAGCGTTGGATATCGGTATTGGTGAACATTCGGGAACTGCGGTAAATTCCGCACTCGAAAGGCTGAGAGACTCCATGATGGGGAGGTCCAAGATGTGGGTTCGATTTACATCAAGTAGGGCGATGTTGAATGGGACGAGGTGGGCACTGCGCCAGCGATGAGCGTGAGGCCACAATCTGGACAGTAGAGATTCGGCCTCCGAGACGTTTAGGAATATATCCAATGGCGCATCTCCAGAGCGTTGAAGATAAAGCTCGGTAAGGAGGTGCACTCCATCGGATTGTGGATCCTCATAGGCCAGTACACATATTGAAGACCAAAGTGGGGGTAGAGATATAGCGATCTCTCGCCATCGGGAGCAACAGTGACTGATGTCCAGCTCGCTGGAGGAATATTCACCTGGAAGCGCGTGACGACGACGAAAAGAAAGATCTGACATAAAATTTCGTTTGGGAGACTATGGATCGCTTTGAATACTAGTTTCAGGGAGTGCTTTCCGAGGTAGATTCCGAGGTACCTGTCATTATTGTATCAGTTTAAATCACTGGTGACTGTGATTATTGGTAGAGATGGTCGAATCGACAGACCGTTGGTAAGTATAGGATTATGGAAATTTACGCCTAGAACGACTGCTTCTACAAACCAGAGTAAAGCGATAATCAGTGAATCAGTGACATCGCCGGCAGGCGCTCGGCTCGGAGTCACGGAGTTATTTGGGACTCCCACGACCGGTTATTTATTATTTGGACGTGTCCAACTCTACCATTCATTATTTTCACTTTTTGACCCGTTTATCCTATCCCGCCAATTTATTTCTTCATTCGTTCATCTTTCCAAGCCATAAAATCAACACAGTGATGTTAGCCTTTCTCCCTCTGACTTCCATCATTTGTACGGCCTCTCCCCTGTACGGCCTCTCTCTCCTCCATCATCTCTGTACTGGCCAGCTATGTTGTCTCCCAACATGGCCACGATGATCAGCCAAGCTGGCTCAGCGGTCGTCGAGCACGTAGCCAAAAAGAATGCTCTGGTATTAACGGACGACGCTTGTCTACGAGCGTGGACCAAACAATTCGCTGAACTTGTTGTAAGTATTCGACGGAATTACCCTAATCTAACGTCATTTTAACTCCTGCATAGGCAACTTATCGCAGCATGGTACGCATCTGTACGAAAAACGACAAGTCCTACGTCGAACCCTCTGCGATTAAAGACGCGGTCACCGGTGCTGACCAGTTTCTATTGCAACACACTCACTGGACTTGGGACGAAGACTGGGTATCCGAGCGTTGGAGGCGCGCCGCACAGTTGCGCAAGAAACTCTGGGAGGCCGAAGTCGAGCGAATCAGGATACTCAAGGAGAAGGAGGAAAAACTGCGCCAACAGATAGAGGAAGAAAAGATCCTCTCGGAGGCGCGCGCCCTTCTCAATGCGAAGACTTTCAATTATTTGACCGAAGAAGAGTGGGATTCCCTTCTTAACGATCCTCCTATCGAAGAGGGTCCGCCTCCGAGTGCGCTTAATCTCTTCGATCCAGCATTTGATCCAGTCGACTCTGAAGACCGATCTTCACCGTTATCGGACTTGACTACAAGCTCCCCTTCCAGTCCAGAAACTTGCGTGGACCCACCTTCACCACCACCAACAGGACCCACTCTACTTCCCAATCAGAAATGCGATGATGGAAAACTCCCCAAAGATCAGACGTCACCTACAGCTACATCACCGGAGTCACCACCAATCGCGCTCAAACCTAACCGTGGGGGACCCGCAGGACGCAATGGGCCCCTTGGACAGCGTGGGCGTGGCGGAAGTGCTGCACCCACCATTCCTCATATTGCACCTGCTGCACGAGGATCAACGACTGTGACTGGTGCGAAGAATGGGCCTGTTGTGGGACCTGCGAAAGCTATCGAACCGAAAGCACCCGAACGGCTTGGTACTCCTTCCGCCGCTTTAATTGGTCGTAAACCAACTGGCACCTCATCGACGCCCATTCCTGTTACAGCCACTACCGCTGCTACTACTGCCTCCGTTGCTCGAAAAGCACCCACTGATCCCAAGCCAATCCATTCGACAGCAGCGCGTGATCCTCCGGTATTCATTCCAAAGAATCGCCCTGGCCCGCAGACCAGCCAACTTCGTCTACCGAAGACGAGTACGGCTTCGCCATCTGTTCGGACGGAGCCGCCACGCCAAGGCGACGCTCCCAAAGGTGTGTATTCGGGTCATGTGTGTATGTGTTCTTTTGACTTATTTATACACAGTTGGATACTACCATTCAATTGGCATCATTCTCCTCGAATCTCATCCACGGAACTGTTGGCAAACGGAAAGTGCGTGATGAAGATGAAGATTTCATCGATGATGAAAGTGATGAAGAGAACGAAAAATCTTTGTACTTGATGAGTAGTGGTGGAATTCTGATAGGAACGGGCCAAATCAACTGTAAGTAGCTGTCTCTGTTTCCATCTTTTTTCGCGATTTTATCTCAACATGAGATTTTGGTTTCCTTTCACAGCACCATCTTGTTTCCCTTGCGCGAGAGCAAATTCAAAGTGCTTTCGGCTCAACGGCAGGTCATGCTGCGCGCGCTGTCACCAGGAGCATGTCAAATGTCCGTTAGACAAAGACAAGCCAGCAACGC